AGCGTGTAGCAAACTGACGAGGCCCTTCACGGGAGCCCTCGCCCGCAGGGACACGGACTGCTAGTACACCATTAGCTGATGAAACTCACTTAGCACATGTTGCCCGAGTAGATTCAGCCCCGCGTGTACCCAACGGTAGAAATTCGAGGGAATCATTTTTTCCTCGGGCTAAGGGAACTGGTTCAAAATCCGTACGAGGTTTATCTAGCAGTGAGTCTGATACTCAAGTAGCAGCGTCTGCCCCGGTATCGTTCAAGAATCAGCCAAGTAGCAACGCAGGGAAGAATAGGCAAACCAAACGCACTCGTGCGTCAGGACCTAGGTTAGCCCCGCAAGCCCAATATGTACTGATGAACATGCCATTTAATAAAAACACAAGAAAGTGTGCCTCTGTGTCTCGCGCGTCTAGTAGTAGTGGATCTCAATATGCATCGTTTCATACGTCTGCACTTAGTAAATATCCACAACACCCTAATGCGTTAAATTCGTCCTCCAAGAGAGTGCGAATTCCTGCCCGAGTTAGTAATTANTCCTGGTGTTACCAAACCTAGGTTCGGATAAAATGTTGCTCGAAATAGGATAATGAATGCCTTTGGCGCCGTACTAGACTGGTGCGGCGAGCAACTTTCGTTAAAAAATTCCACAAGAAAAATTCCGGCAAAACACCGACGAACGAATAGTCAAGCAGACCCAAATGATAGTGCTCCAGCACAAATATCTATAGTTGCGCTTGACCCATCAGTAGGAGCGGTGCCTGTATATCTCCCCAAGAGATACTGCATTCCTCCCCAACATGAAATGACAGTAGACGTAGTGGCTGAAATCGCGCCTGAGGCGACCACGCCTGCGTTGATAGAACCACGTATCGTCACAACCCAGGACATGGAATCGTCCGATAGTATACCCGCAGCGTTTCGTAGAATACTAGTTGCGAGGACCGTGTGCAATTGGTCAGCAACTGACAAGTCAGCAGCAGTACAAATTGCCAACCCGTCCAAACGACATGTATACCTCGAACGCGATACAATCGTAGGGTACATTTCACCTGTCAAATCAGTCGCCGAGAAAACAGTCAGCGCTGTGACTAGCGACCAAACTACGTTCAGACAAAAGCGAGATGAGCTTAGAGGAGCCTTGAAAAAAGCGTTCACGAACACTACATTTACTCCGCACAATGCTCGCAAGTTTTGGACTTATGTGCGAAATATCGTAATGTATTTTCTTTGTCTTCCAAAGAACTTGGAAAATGCACGATAGCCAAAGCAGATTTTCCCCTAGAACCAGGCACTAAACCAGTCGACCGTGCTCCCTATCGTACAAACCCTAGAGCGCAGGAAGTTATCGATAAGTGTGTGGATCAAATGGAAAAAGATGGGATTATTGAGCAGAGACCCAGTCCTTGGGGCTCCGCCGTTACCATAGTAGTGAAAGCTGATGGCACTCCCAGATTCTGCGTTGACTATCGCTCTACGATCAATAAAAATTTAATTCGAAAATCTTGGCCCATGCCAGATATCGAATCCCACATTGATACCGTTGGTGGTGCGAAATATATCACAGTTTGTGACATTCAAAACGCGTATCATCAAATGGAAATACCAGCAGAAGAGCAAGATAAGACGGCTTTTGTAACACACAAAGGGAAATGGGTCTTTAAACGCCTCCCCTTCGGAATTGCGAATGCTCCCTTCTTGTTTGCCCGTATGATGTCCCTAGCCTTTTCTCACTTTGGACCACGCAGTGGACTTCTAGTGTACATGGACGACATCATCTGCTGCAGTTCTACTTGGGAGAGCCATCTAACTTTATTAGAAAGCATGCTCCAGGCCCTCCAAGCTGCCGGTCTCACCCTGAAACCCTCTTAAGTACAATTTGGACCAAGAGAAGTCAAATACTTGGGACACGTACTGTCTGAGAAAGGGATTCGCATAGGTGAAGATCGCATTAAAGCCATTATTGACTTACCTACACCCAAAACCATTAAAGAACTTCGTTCGGCTTTGGGCATGGTCAATTTTGTACGTAAGTATATACCCGACCTTTCTACGGTAATCGCGCCGCTAGTCGAACTCACGCAGAAAGAGCATGTGAAATCAATCGCAAAACGATGGAATCAGGAACACGATAAGGCGTTTGCAGAGGTAAAACGTTTACTCAGCGAAGCCCCCGTACTATGTTTCCCTGACTTTACCAGATCTTTCGTGGTTCACGTTGATGCCAGTGAAGTTGGTGCAGGAGCATTCCTAGCCCAAAAGAATGGTGACGACCTGAATATTATTGCATACTTCAGCCAGCGATTTAACAAAGCTCAACGCCACTACTCCCCCACGATGAAAGAATGTTACGGAGTTGTTTTGAGTTTACAACACTGGAGACCCTACCTGTGGGGTAAACATTTTGAACTCGTGACGGATCATGCGGCGTTAAGATATTTGTACACGATGCAAGACACGTCTAATATGCTGACTAGGTGGGCGATTGCTTTGCAGTCTTTTGACTTTACCGTGCGACACAAGCCGGGAAGGTTACACGTAGTCCCAGACACTCTCTCTCGGTTGTTTGCGTTTGATCACCAACAACAGTTAGTTGGAAACCCCGCAACAAGCACCGATTTGCAGAAATGTGCTGCAGGACCCTGCATTACAATCTAGTGTCGTCCCACAACGTCCGTACCAAGTGTCTGCAGATCGCCTGGATAACCTGCAACCAGTCCAAAGCGATCGCGAATTATTCGCTGAGAAATCAGTCTATGTTAGCGCGACCAATGTCTTTGAGACGATTAATCACGACGTTTTGCGTGAAAAGCAAGCTCTCGAGTACGGCACATATATCGACTATCTTACGAAAGATGACGCCCGATTACCTGATAACGAGACAACAACTTCCATGTCGTACTACTTTGTGCGCGACGAGTTGCTGTATAAATCGTATCTACCAGGTTGCCTCCGGAAACGCAGTACGTTTAGTGACCAATGAGTATTACCACAAGCTCTAACCGGGTTGGTGATGCATGCATATCATGACCACGTATTGTCCGGAGGCCACTTAGCGTCTAGACCAACTTATGAGAAGATCCGCCAAAAATATTGGTGGCC